CTGGCTGGCTTATAAAAACAGAAAGTTATTTCTCACAGTTCTGGGAGCTAGGAATTCCAAGCCCAAGGTGCTGATTTGGAGTCTGGTGAGAGCCCACTTCCTGGTTCACAAACAGCTGCCTTCTCACTGTGTCCCCACATGGCAGAAGAGGTGAGGGAGGTCTCTGGAACCTCTTTCATAAGGGCTCATTCATTAACCTCCACCCTTATGACCTAATCAATCCTAGAGACTCCTACCTCCAAACAACCTCAAATTGGGAATTAGAATTCAACACGGATTTGGGGACACAAACATTCCATCTGTAGCAGAAAAGCATCTACTTAATGAAGAGGAGTGGATACAAACATTAAGAAAACATCAGTCCTGTCCTCAAGTGACATCCTGCTTCTGGAAGGAACATGGGTCAGGCACCCAACAGGTCTGAGTTCAGATCCAAGCTTCCTCACTTTTCTGTGCTATGCTACTAGGCAACTTCTCTGAACTTTGCTTTTATCACTTGAAAATGGGAAAAATAACACACACTGTGGGTTTCTTGGATACATTAGATCGAGAAATGGGTGTGGAATGTCTGGTGCTGTACATAGCTCCTGGTAGTTGATCAGACACACATCCATCCCTTTACACACATCCCTTTACAAAGTGAGGGAAGGACAGGTATAGGCACAATTTAGAAGCACAGAGTATGTAGGGCTGAAAGCAGCACTAAAGGACCCAGGTCGTGGAGGACTTGAATGCCGATCTCTAGCACATGAATATCGATGAGCAGTGGGAGCCAGTGAGGGTTTCTGAGCAGGCGAGGATTGTGGACAGAGCTTCCTTTTAGAAGGAAGATAATTATGGCAGCCAGGAAAAGGGAGAAGATGCAAAGAAGCTGTGCTTTCCTTCTTCCGGCTCCTAAAATGTAACTTTACTCAAGCTCCTCCCGACCCACAAAGCTCTGCCCTGCAGCCTGGGCCCCTGGAACTTTGCTCTAAGGCCCACTTCCTTGTAGCCTGTGATCTGTTTCACGGGACCACAAGTGCCCGGCTGCTGAGCATTTGTAGGTTCGGCTGTGTTCATGGTGAGCATCTTGCTGTGTCAGGCAGGCAGGCAACAGCCTTGGAGGGAAGACTCTCTTTCAAAGTCCCCTCCCTGCCTTTGTTCTGGAAGAGGCCTGATTCCATCTAGACAGCTGATGAAGAGAAGAAGAAAAAGATCAGGGCCTCAGCTCTCCGGGCCTGGCTGTCCATCCTGGGGACATTGGATTTGGGAGAAGTACAGCCCGACAGTCAGGCAGACATCAAAAATCACAGAAAGACCAGAACCTGAATCAGGATGATGGACTCAGTGCCCCTTGGATGGGTAGCCCTCCTCCCATATAAACCAGCCATATGGAATTCTGCGGTCCATCAGCTTTGGCATTGATTTCCTATGGTCTGCAGCTCCCAAGCTTGCAGAATGCACTTCTAGGACAGAAATTTAGAAGAATAAAGTCAGCTAAGGCAGCAAATTTACCTTTTCCTCTGCCCTGTTCTCTTCACAGCCCAATCAGGGGACATGCCAGTGCTCCCAGGAGTGTGAACACAGTGAAGCTTGGTGTGAAGAGGTCTCTGGGGAGTGGGTAGGGACAAAAGCAAGCCCAGCCCTGGAGAGAACTTAGGTTCAAGTTAAGGAGATGGAGATGGATTCATTCATTCCCATAGGCATTTCCTCAGGGCCTCTCAATGATAGTCTGTGCCAGATGCTGCGGGACTTGAGACAAATAAGACCCATTCCAACTCCTTGGGGGCTCAGAGTCTGGCAAAGGAATCAGCTCTATATGAAGTCAATAATGGCTGTGACAAGACACAGTGATAGCAGGAGGGGGGATGCAGGGCTTCCTGGAGGAAGTGACATCCAAGCTGGGCTTTGAAGGTTGAATAAGAGGTCACTGGCAAGGTGGGGAAATGAATCACTTACACTAAGGTATACCTGTAGGAAAAAACAGAATATACATCCTTCTAGAGATCACAAGTCATATCTATTTTGGACATGTGGGGAAAACAGAGGCAACTGGTGGGAGCTGTGACTGGACACAAAATCAGGGGCTAAAAAAGGATCAGGACTGGGAAGGAGTAGATGTTTAATACTAATTAATGGAGAATCAGTATTAAAATTAGGTTTGAGATTTAGATGCACTTAAAGGGAGATGTTTAGCTGTCTCAGATCAGCTAAGAGAAAAATAACAAAAATGCATGTACTTTATGTGTATTATCTCATTTAGACTCTAGAACAAGACAATGAGGTCATTGACTATTCCTTTCCCATCTTATACATCAGGAGATAGGGTACACAGAAGTCACATGACTTGCCCAAGGTCACATACTTGGTAAATGGTGGTTGCCAGCCACTGGGGAAGGAGGTATGGGGAGTTATTGCTTAAAGGATACAGAGTTTCAATATGGGAGGATTAAAAAAAGTCCTATAGATGGATGTTGGTGATGATTGCACAACAACACAAATGTACTTAATGCCCCAGAACTATACACTTACAAATGGCTAAAATGGTGAGTTTTGTTTTGTTTTGTTTTTTTTAATTTGACAGAGAGAGAGAGAGATCACAAGTAGGCAGAGGGGCAGGCAGAGAGAGAGGGGGAAGCAGAGAGAGAGGGGGAAGCAGGCTCCCTGCTGAGCAGAGAGCCCCATGCGGGGCTTGATCCCAGGACCCTGAGATCATGACCTGAGCCAAAGGCAGAGGCTTAACCCACTAAGCCACCCAGGCACCCCTAAAATGGTGAGTTTTATGTCATGTGTTTTATTACAGTAAAAAGGAAGACAAAGATAAAGGAAAAGCATGGAAAGATGCAAGCATTGCATCTTCTGCTACAGGCAGATGAGAGGAAAGTCTGTCTACCCAGGCCAGACCTGCCACAGAAGAGGCGAGCCCAGGACGGCTGAAGCCCCAACTTGGCCACTCCATGTACAACTCGGCCAGGTTGCATAGCCTTTCTGGGAAAAACGAGGAAGCTGGCTGATTCACAGAATTCCTCTAGTGTCAGCCTTCTGTGGTTCTGCCTTATTAGGAAGGCTTGGCTCATTCAGAGGACGAGGTAAAAGGAACAGAAAACCCAGGCCTTCCACATACTGGACATTTCCAAGTAACTTGACTTACAGTGGTTCTTCAGAAGAACGTACCTTACAGAAACGTTATCAGTGAGTGTCCTGGTATAAAACAGATGCCTCTCTCAAACCAGGGGACCAGGGAAGTTTACTAGAGTCCACTTACAAAGATGTGAGCAGGGCTTGGGAACCCCGGCGGGGGGTGGGGGTGATGCAGTACCCAGGCTTTGCAACAGCAGGACTGTTAACACCCTTAGTGGAAAAAAGGTGGTTCCAGGAATCCTGAGGGAGAAGGAATGTGGAAGGCCACCTTTGGTAAGCACAACCCTGCAGGAAGAGAACTCAGGAAATTAGACTGAGACCTCTCTCTTCTTCTGCCCTCAGTCTCCTGCTGGGGACTCCCATGGGCCAAACCCAACAGGAAGCTGAGTACAGGGAGCCCATCGGTGAAATCCACACAGGCCATCCTCTGGAGCCAGAGCAGGGCGGTAAAACCTGGCAACGAAGTTGGAGGGGCAAATGGATGGGTGGCTCCAAAGTGGTCAGCACCCTGCTATCCAGGAACCTGGCCAGGGCTGCTGGGAAGCACCCTCCCCTGGAGGACCTTTTTGGTCTTTCCAAGGATGACCTGGGATCCAGGGTGGGAAGGAGCCTCGGCTCTTTCCGGCCTGGAGGGGAGTGATGCAGTTAGTTGGACAAATGACTAGTGTTGTTCCTAGTGTGACGGCATTGGCCAGGCTCCTATCCATGCACTGATGTGTACATTTGTTCAGACATTGGTTCAGCAGCCACCTGAAAATGACTCTGAGCCAAACCAGGGCTAAGCCAGGGCTAGGAGCCACTAAATCAAGAAATGTGAAACAGCCCCAGCCACCTTAGCTGGTGAAATATGCCCAGAGCAACACGGATATGGGTTCTTCCCACCAGTTCTGTGAGTCTGGAGGCTTTTCTCAGGCACCCCCATCTGTAGTATGGGCCAACCACCTTTTCGTCCCAGAGTTGTCTTGACGGTTCAGAAGGAACATTTCAGAAAAGCAGAAGGCAGTGCCTCGGCTTGGAGGAAGAGCTCCACGTTTGGGAATCAGTGGCCTCTGTTCCAAGCACACCTCTGCCCCATGCTCCCATCCACCGCCCTATTATGGTGCCCTGCTACTGGTGTTGCAATTATATTGTACTTGCATTTGTTGCGATTTTTATCTTCCTCTCTCCCCATCTCTGAGTGTACACCTAGCAAAGGAAGCTCCTGGCCTCTGGCTACTCCCTGAATCCCCAAGGCTTGGGTCCGAGTTTAAAACTGCCAACATTTTATACAGTGGGCAAACATTGCCAATGGCTTCACATGCATCTTCACATGGGGAGGACAGTCCTGGTTGGCAGGTGGTCGTACAAGACCTGTTCTACTGATGAAGGAACTGAGCCGGGAGAGGTGAAGCAACTTGCCCAAAGCTGCGGAATAGCGGCAGAGTCGGAATTTGAATCCGGGAGCCCGGCCCTGAGATCCGGCGCTGGACCGCGGCTCCTGAGCTGAACGAGTGCGGGAATGAATCCACCGATCAGTCAGTGACTGGCCGGCGGATGCGCGCCCGTCCCCTCCCCCGGACGCCGGGGCAGGGCGCCCGGACAAAGGCGCGGCGGAAGCCGGACGTGGGCCAGCCGGGTCCGCGCGCCGGAGGCGGGAACGGGGCCGGGCCCTTTAAGGGGGGCGGGGCGGCGGCGCGGGGGGCGGGCCCGGGGGCGGGCCGGGGGCGGGCGACGGCGGCGGGCCCGGCCCGAGGGCGCGCGGAGCGAAGGGCGGCGGCGGCGGCAGCGGCTCGTGCTCGGCCCGTGATCTGCCGGGGCTCCCGAGAGCGCTCGGCACCCCCTGCTTTCCGCCCGCCGCAGCGCGCCCCCCGCACCCGCGCTCGGCTCCGCGGAGGACGGCCATGCCGCCGCGGCGCAGCATCGTGGAGGTGAAGGTGCTGGACGTGCAGAAGCGGCGGGTGCCCAACAAGCATTATGTGAGTGCCGCGCGGCCCCCACGCCCCCTCGAGGCCGTGCCCCGCCGGGGGCGACCGAGAGCCCCTGGGTTCTGAAAACTTCCGAACCGTCTGCTCTTCCCCCACCCTCCCCTTCTCTCCCCCCTTGGCCCTAATGCTGCGTGTCGGGGTCTCTCCCAGCTCCTCCCCCTCCCCCTCCTCTCTTTTGCCCGGTTCTCCTCCCCTCCTTCCCGTCCTCCCGCCTCGCGCCCCTGCTCGCCCCTCTGCAGCTCCTCTCCTCCTTTCCGTCTCCCCCTTATCCTACCCCCAACTCCTCCTGCCCGTCTGTGGAAAAGTCTGGCCCCAGCCAATGTAGGGGACAGAGAGACAGAAAGGGGGGGGGAGGGGGGAGGAGAGACACAGAGAGAAGCTCCAGTTCTCAGGCTGCCCGCTGGGTTCCTCCTTGTCCAGAGGCACTCAGACCCGCAGTGCCTAGCCACAGGTAGCCCCTCTGGGGATCGCCAAGTTTGGCTCTGTTCTTTCGGAGGATCCAGCCGGAGCCATCTCCGAGAATGGCTCCTTTGAGTGCCTGCACCGTGAAAAGGTTTAAAAAAAAAAAAAAAAAAAAAAGGTCCCTGCCCTCTTTCTCCAATAACTTCTGTTTAAAAATGTAGGAAAGTTTTCTCCTGGTACCTCCCAGTGTAAAATGAGAATCTTGTTTAGAGCTGGTGAAAATGGGCCAGCAGCCTCATTTTGCAGATGGGAAGCCTGAGGCTCAAGGAAGGTGCAGGTTCTAGAACGTGGAGTTGCATTCAGGCCTTCCCTGCCTCTGGAAGGTGTGCCAGGGCAGGCGGTGACCCCGAGATGGGAAATGGATTCTGCAGCAGTCTAGGTACCTGAATCTGGGCTCAAGGGGCCCTGGGATCACCTCAGAGGTTTTGGGTGGAGGGGTTCTGCGTCTGTGAGATATTGGGCCAGGAGTGAGGCCTTGGGGAGGCCTTCTTCCTGGAGGGAAGGGGGCTATGGTGTCTGTGGTGATGAGGGGGGGCAGTGGCAGCGCCTAGCTGCAGAGAAGTTAACCAGGAAGGAAAAAAGAGCAAGAGGGAGGGAAAAAATCCTAACAAAGAAGTGTAGAACAATGACTAGCAAAGGGCGTTGGCTGGCTAAATTCAGCTCCTTGGCCTCCCTGCAAGTCTTCTCTGGATCTATTTTCTTAAGAGGCTTGTTCTTGTAAAGCAGATCTACATGCCCTCCGTGAATAGCCTATAAAATCCTGAAAGGAGATAGCCGGAATCCACTCTGCACTCTCCTCGAGAAAGGGTGTGCTGTGTGAGTCGCTATTGTTATTGGCTGAGGCAGCCAGTTACTCAGCCCTCAGCCAGGCGGTGGGAAGCTATTTCCTGGACCTGTGGCATCTTTAAATAGAGTGAAGTTTCCCTTGATTCCAGAGCGGAGCTGAATTGTCTTTTTTTTTCTTCCTTTTTTTTTGGTTAACTGCTTCAAATATTGCCAAATCTTGGTTTCTTGTTTGAGCTTGTTGAGTGTGTAACTGAGTTGCCTTTTGGGTATGAAGACAGTTTTCACCAACATGGCAACAAGAGAAAGTCTAAAATTCTCCATGCTGCCTCCCACCCAATCTGTGAGCTGGCAGAACCAGAATAGACACAGTCAACACAAACCAGGCATCAGCATCCAGTCACTCTCTCCTCTCTGCTCCCAGCACATGCATATGAGGTTCATATGCATGAAGTTCTTGAGCCCGTTTGACAGATGAGGAGACTGAGGCTCAGAAAGGTGAGGTCCTATGCCTGAGGTCACAGTCACGGGAAGAGCAAGGGACGTCAGTCCAAGTCTGTTGGATCCCCAAAAATGGTGTTCCACTAGAGCACGCCCCTTCCTAGATCCATACCTTCCTAATTTCCTTAAGCAGAGTCCCCTTAAGAACCAGGAAGTCTGCCATCATTGGTGACCCCCCTGACTAAGCTTTTCATCCTTTGCTCAGTCAGATCCATCCCCGCCAGCTTTTTGAAGTTTCTGCGGCTTTAAGGGACATCTTGCTTAGCTTTCCATCACTTTTTAGGGGCCCCTTGAGACAAGTTAAAAATACGGATTTGGGTTCAAATCTTGGTCTCCACGAGGTGGCTGTGTAGCTTCTCTGAGACTCAGTTTTCTCATCTGTACCTGGGGGGTGATGGTGCCCATTTCCTAAGGGGAGGAACCATGTGACATCTGGGCTTAGCTTTGTGAGCTTGCCTCCCTGCTCTGTGGTGTCCATGTCACTCTGATTGGGAATGTGCCAAAGTCATGTGTGGAGGGATTTCACCAAAAACTTGTTTTTCTGCATGTGGGTTTAGTCACTCTTGTGACTCAAGGTGGCTCCCTTCCTGGTAACCAAGCTTTTGGCTCACCGGATGAAGAGGGGCAATGAGCTAAAGTGAAGCCTGAGTCGTCCACAGAAACAGGGCAGATGTAGTGCCGAGATGGCAGGGGACGCGAACCCAGCGGAAAGTACCAGCGCCTCCCTCTCCTGTTCTCAAGACATGGCCACCCCACCACTCTGGAATAAGTGGGCACAGAGGCTGCTGTTGGTGTGGGCCTAGGCTTTCATCCCATTTGGTGTCCTCCTCTCTGAACCTGACCCAGCCACCCTGGAGAGAAAGCATGGCAAGGGGAGTTGGACAGTGCTGAGCTTTGCTGGGTGTGTGACCTTAGGCTGGTCGATCCAGCTCTCTGAACTCCCATCTTCTACAATCTGCAAGTTGTAAATACTGTTCCTTCTCTCTGGGACAGAATTTCTCAACCTCAATACTGTTGACAGTTTGAGCCAGATCCTTCTTTGTTGTGGGGGGGCTGTCCTGAGCATTGTAGGAGGTTTAGCAACATCTCTTTGTCTTCTACCCACTAGGTGCCAGTAGTGTCCCCCTCCCAAATTGTGACAACCAAAAACATCTCCTGACATGTCTCGTAGGAGTTTATAATCACACCCCCCACCCCCACCACCTCCTGACTCAACCTAACTCTGTGTTAGAATATACAAATCAGTTAGAGAATTCTGTTAGCCACACCCCCTAATTTTCCACCACCTCCTCCCCCATTTGCAGATACCTTGCCACCACCTGTTTGCCACCCAGTTGCCTTGGAAGGAACGGTCACAGTTACTGCTGATGTCGTGGAGAACTGCCCCTGAGCCCTGGGCTGGGTCACTAGTTCCACCAAAATGACATCTGAAATGCTCCATGATCAGCCCTGCCCCGCCCTACCCTCCTTTACCTGTGGGCACAGATATCATCAGTGGGCCCAGGGGCAGAGCCACAGGCCCAGTCTGGAGAATGTAGGGACAGAAACCCCCAGGACCTCTGAGATCCCAACCGTTGGGTAGGGATTGTTGTGGATGATAATATCAATTATACTGTGATTCAGAGAGGCTCCCCTGGAGCCGCCTCCCTCTGTCAGAGGCTGGGAGAGCTAAGGCTTAGGGAGCTGCTCCCCTTCTGTGCTAGCAAATCTCCTTGCCGAGAGCCCAGGGCTTTCGGAATGAATGGAAAGGGGGCTTTCTAGGGTGATGCTCTGGGGAGACCCTCCCTGGCTGGGTTATCTTCTGACTTGAGAGGAGGAGGAAGTGTTCCCTGGAGGTTTTGCAGGATCACCCTATTTCTTGCACTGGAGTGGGATATACAGAAGCCTTGGATTCAGAAGAGAGTCCCTGTCTGCAAGAGCCACGAGGTGCTGGCTTGCTCTGCCTTGAGATCTTCAGATGTTAAGAGGAGTAAGATGGTGGTGGTAGTAGTTAAAGCAGCAGTCATAATAGCTGAAATCTGATCACCTCTTGTGGGCCAGGCACTGAATGAAACTGTATAGTGAGTCCTCACAACAGTCCTTTAAAAATAGGTACTTTTTGGGGTACCTGGGTGGCTCAGTGGGTTAAAGCCTCTGCCTTTGGCTCAGGTTCATGATCCCAGGGTCCTGGGATCGAGCCCCACATCGGGCTGTCTGCTCAGCAGGGAGCCTGCTTCTCCGTCTCTCTCTGCCTACTTGTGATCTCTGTCAAATAAATAAATAAAATCTTTTTAAAAAAATAGGTACTTTTTAATACACTATTTCAAATAGACAAATATATAAGATGAAATAACTCTCCACCGGGCGGCTCTGTCAGATCTTCATATTTGGCTGTTTCTTATCGTTATTTTTGGTTTTTAAGAAACATCGCAGAAACAAAACCCTTATGTACCTTCCCTAACTCTCCCTCTCCCCAAAATGAACTGGTGTCCTGCAGTTGGCATTTATCATTCCTGTGTCCTTTTAAAAAATAGACTGTTAGTGGGGCACCTGGGTGGCTTAGTCAGTGAAGCGTCTTGCCTTTGGCTCAGGTTCATGATCCAGGGTTATGGGATCGAATCCCGCATCAGTCAGGCTCCTTGCTCAGCGGGGAGTCTGCTTCTCCCTCTCCCTCTGCTCCTCCCCCTGCTGTGCTCTCTCTCTCCAGCTCTCTCTCTATTTCTCAAATCTTATTAAAACAATAGACTATTAGGTCTGTTAGATAGGTTTTTTTTTTTTGCCTCTCACAGCTTTATTGAGGTATAATTTATAAGCCATAGAACTCACTCGTTTTAAGTGTATGGTTTGCTGATTGTTTTAGTGAATTTATAGAGCCATGAGGCCACTACTGTAATGTCGTTTTATAACATTTGCATCACCCCCAAAAAGGTCCCCAGGATTTGTCTGCAGTCAGTCCCCTTCCTGCCCCCCAGCCCTGTGCACCTTTTAATGTTTTTCCCTTTTTAACACTGGCCCAAATCTTGCATGAATGTTTTAGAACTACATAAAAACATTGCCCTTTTGAGATGGATGCTGATCCATGTGGCCCCAGTTGATTTTAACTGCTGTTTAATATTCCGCTTGACTAGAGCACTGTTTCTTCGAGCTCCTGGTGGGGACTCCTAGGGTGTCCCAGCAGTGCAGGTCCGCGCAGCTGCTTCCTGCTTGTGCACCCGAGGTGGGATTGCTGAGACACTTATATCCCCCAGAGCAGTGTCTGTCTGTGC